GGAGGGAGAAGCCTGTTGAATTAAATCGAATGGACGCCTCCATAATAATGGAACGACCAGACGACAACATAATCTATTTAACAATAAACAATTGTATAAGGTTGATTTGTCGTCTTGTAAATGAGCCAAAATTTCCGCGAAACAATCCGGTGTTAGCGCAGTAGAAAATTTTATGTGAGAATGTTGATGAAGTGGATTTTTATTATCAAAAGAGGAAGAACGTCTTTTGTGAGAAAAAATATTATTTTGTTGTCGTTTACTACTTTCTTTACGATTTTCATTTTTGTATAATTTATGAAGGGTGAAAGATTTTCGATACATGTTGCAATGAAATAATTTTGAAGGGGAAAAAGAATGTTTTTGCAAACAACAACGACAATGATCTTTCAATGATGATTTGTTATATATATATATACTATAGGATTTCATATATACATATATATGCCGTGGTTATCTTGTGGTCAAATATTTGTTTTTATTTTCGTGTAAATCAACAAGTTAAAAAAATTTTTATTTTTGATTAATATAAAATCTATTTTTTTTTTTTAGAATGAAAGAAAATTAGATGAAAGAAAAATTAAAATAAAATAAAAGAAAGAAAGAAATTTGAAAGTTGAGATATTGATGAAAAAAAAAAAAAAAAAGGGAATGAAAACATTTCTATTTATTTCATTTTAAAGTAATGATACATTTTTTATTTATACATTAAATGAGGAGAGCATTTGGATCCACAAATGTCTTACTCTTTTTAATTATGTAAATAAATTGTTATAATTGTTATACCAAAGTTATAATAACATTTTATAAATAGTCCAAATTAATTTCATTCTATTCGTTAAGAAATAACCAGCACCGATCAGGTTATGATCATCAGGTCAGGTAGGAAAAAATGATACTCCGAGGCAGATTTCATCCTGCCATCCAATAAGCATTCTCCGATAACGAACGTGTGCATACTTTTCATACAGAATGACCCCAGCTGAGCGATATTTTTCACTAAATATAATTTGCGTGCATCATAATACCAAAGCACCTGATTGGACGTTCCTTTTTGTTACGTTTTTGGAATGAAAAAAACTACACTTTTTGAACCATTGATACCTTTTTTTATTTTCTGGAACATGATTACTATTGTTTATATAAATTACATATTCCGAATAAATTTTTTTACGCATTCTTCTACTATCCTTGAAAAAAATCCATTCATATTTGGTAATAATCTACTGCTATTATTGTATATGAAACGTAAATAAAAAGATCTAAATTTTTGCAGAAAATTCCTTCTCATGAGTTTTTAGATTATTTTTTTTCAAAAAGAAGTTTATAACGAGTTTGTGCCAAGGATGGTCATCCAATTTATGCCATTCAATTTACATTACAAGATAAATTCCTGTTTTCAACATTATTTAAGCCATTTAATTATTACATGTGAAAATTTTCATCTCAATTCGGAAAGTTTTGTATAATATACCTTATTTTCTTGTTGTAAATCTCGTTTATGTATTTTTTTTTTTTTTTTTGACAAATTATAGTGTGCGAAAAAATAAAATCCAAGTATTCTGTGAAAAAAAAAAAAAAAAAAAAAAAAAACGTGGATACTCAATTTATGCACATCGATTCCTTAATTATCAAAAGAAACAAGGGAGGTTTATTCAATCTTATTCTAATACATTTGTATATTAACAAAATAATCAAAAAAGAAATCCCAATAATGATAATAATACTCATACTTGTGCTTGAACATTCATTCCAAGAATATTAAAAAAAGACCTGTTCATTTTTTTTTTCCTTATTGGATCGCTAACATACATACCAAATAACAAGACTAAACCAACAAAAGCAATTACTACAAAATAATATATCTCCAAATTTAATAAAAAACTTGTTTGGTATGCAATGGAAATAACATAATGCAATTTACATCCAAAAAAAAAAAAAATTTATTCCGACATGGGTTACGTATTTTTTGATATCTAGATATAGCAAATAAGGTAAAACCCTCAAACGGCTAACTGAAAATCAGCGATTCCTGTTTCAGATGGCTAATTGGGTTTTAGATAAGCCATCCATTTTATTATATGTAACGAGTGTGTGTTGTTAACAATTATTGTTTACTTTGGATAATAAGGTTTTATCATGAATGAGTAATATTTATGATAAAAATAACTTACCGAATAAGTTTACTTTATTATCACAAAACATATTTGCGATATTTACTTAACGGGAAAAGTTTGTGTTCCAAATTTCACATTTTGAACTTTAGCGGCTATAATCATTGTCATACTTGGTCCGAACGATTCAACTATATTTAATTGAACGATTTAGAGACGATGTTCCTTTTAATATGTTCCACATACATATGCAGCGGGAAACTTTAATCGTCTAAATCCGGCTGTATAGCGCATGCATACCTAAGTCGAACAAATTAGGTAATCATAAAGATTTTACGTAGAAGGCTTAACCTAAATTCTTCAATAACGGATTTTCAACTCGATTAGGAATAATTGATAAATTCACTTATGATGATGTCGGTTGACTTTGTGGATTTTTGGATGTGATAATAATGATAAAAATAAAATACTTTGGTTGCTACGCAGTATCGATTAAGTAAATCGGGCGTATAATTTTTCGTTAATCAAGATATATATATGACGGAAGAATCATGTGAAATGTGTTCGAAATTGTTGCAATTTGCTTACGATTTCAAAAACTCGGTGATTTAGAAAGGTTATAGGAGCGATAAACTAATAAATAAAAAAGCCTTACTAATCACCTATTTATTAAGTGTCATTTATGCACGTGTTACGTTTTCTTTATACCTGAAGTGGTGATATTTTCATTTAAAAATCAACAATTTGAAATTCTGTGAAAGCATCTTGAGGCTATGAAAGGATTACATTTCCATAATGAGAATTTAACGTTCGAGCCGGCTAAGCCGATACCGTGCCGAAGTAAGTTAAACTTTTTAAAGTCATGGGCGTATTTGAAATTCTAATCTAATTAATGCAATAAATTGAACTTTAAAAGTTTCAAGGTTTAATTTACCCAAATAAAGTTTTAAAAAAGGAAATTATTCAAAAGGGGTTGTTTTATGTAAATTTTATGAAACATTAATGTTTTAAAGATTTATTCAATATATCCTTATGTAGTGAAGATAAATATCTTGTAGTTAATGCTTGCGCATTTAGTGTCATGCGTGATACAGATCGTATCTAACGCTTGCACATCGTCCTTAAAGATCAAAGGCTTTTTTAAACAAAGAAAAATTTATTATATCTTTAAAAATTTCGGTTATTACCGATTGTCATCAATTTAAAGAGCAATTAATGACTAACCCGAAAATGTCATCATTACTTTCATCAGAATGTTGCTCACTTTACTTCCTTTATTGACTTCATTGATAAGTCAATTTCCGGTGATGGTTTTTTTATTTTTTGATTAATTTGTGAATTTCTGCATTTTGCAAATCATATAAATCATATCATTATTTAAACGCAGTATATTTTTGAACGATAAGAAAACGTCATTTTTATTAAAGGTAAAATATGAATTCTTTATATGGGAAGAATGCTAGAAAATCAAGTTCAGAGATTTTTTTTTTTTTTGGCTATAATTAAGGTTCTTATTAAAAATATCCAGAAATCTGATTTTCCCTAACAAACTTCCCATATATTGACGAAGTATTACTACTCCTGGTCGGCATTATAAATTGGCCAATGAAAATTTTTTTCTAAAGATAATCGTGCAGAGTACAGTCATTTTTGTGTAATTTTATTATCCTTTTTAGTTTTTTCTTTAGTTTGTAAGAAAAAGCTGAGGGCATTTGTAAAAATGCTAATTTATATTTATAATATTTATTTAAAGTAAATTATAATTGATAAGTTTATATATTGTTATCCAACTGACATTAGATGGATTGAAACACAAGATTGAGTAGCAACTAGATTTAGCTCTATGCCATAATCTTAAGAGATTTTAATTAAAAATTGATTGAAATATTACATCACATGAACTCATAGAAATTCATTTATGAATTGAGTTTTTAGGTCAGAAAGTATAAGAATTTAACTGATTTAATTGATTTAATAAAATACATTTTAAGATAAATATAACTTTAAAATTAATAATATGTGCTCAAAATAATGGGTTAAATAAATTGGAAAATTTTGAATAAGAGAATGTGTGCGCACTTACATTTAAATATGTTAAAAATAAAATTTGTGCTTAAAAATACTTAAAAATATATATACTTATATTCAATAAAACTCTTAAAATACAATATTTCAAAATATACTTATATTTAATAAATATCATAAATAGATAAAGGTAAAATACTTAAGAAATTATTATACTTAATAAGTCTTTATTGATTTATAAAATACTAATTTTTTAAAATAAGTTATAAAAATAATTGTCATTCATATTACTATTGCAAAAAATTCTGGACATCAAAAAGCTAACTAATTTTCAAATAAGCTATTTTTATTGCTTTTAAAAAAATATTACAAAAATGATAAAATAAAATTATAAATAAATATTTAAATTATTTTCAATAGCTGAATTTAAGTATTATTTTATAAATATAAAAAAAAAAAAAAAAAAAAACTTTAAAATATTATAAAAGTTTGATTTAAAAAGTATATTATTTGAAAAATCTCACAATCTAAAAAATTCTATAGATATAAAATATATAATAATAATGAAAAAACTATAATCTTTTGATTATTCAAATGATATAATTATATTATTTTATCTTTAGATTTGTAAAAGATTAAACAAATTTAAAATACAATGAAAGATAATTTGATCTAAGCTAATAATGATTAGAAAAGCTAAGAAAAACAAGAAGTTTTATTAGTATATATCTATATTTATTATAGAAATTCTTCTTTTTGATTAGAAAAAACATTTTATATTAATATAATATCAATATAATAATAAAGGAAACATAATATTTTATTATAATTTCTAAACTAAAGTAGAGTATTCTCTTATAATAAGAAAATATATATACTTAATATGATTTAAATAATAACATATTCTTAAATTAAATATAAGATAATTAGCTAAATACTTTAATCTATGATTCAAAAGTTTTTTATTTTAATTTAATTATATTTAGAATTTTTATTTAAAATAAAAATATAAAGATAGGTTAAATAAATTATTAAACAAATTTTTTATATAGTATAAAAAGCATTATATCAAAAAAAATATATAAATCAATTTATTTAGTATATTAAAAAATATAACTATTAAAAGTATTAATCTATTAAACTTGAAAATTATTATTTATTGTCTGAAATGAAGCATAGGACTAT